CCTTGAGAGGTGGCCAGGTACCCTTGAGAGGTGGCCAGGTACCCTTGAGAGGTGGCCAGGTACCCTTGAGAGGTGGCCAGGCACCCCTTGAGAGGCCAGGCACCCTTGAGAGGTGGCCAGGCACCTTGAGAGGCCAGCACCCTGAGAGGTGCAGGCCCCTTGAGAGGGTACCAGGCACTTGAGAGGTGGCCAGGCACCCTTGAGAGGTGGCCGGTACGCCCTTGAGAGAGGTGGCCAGGCACTTTGGAGAGGTGGCCAGGTACCCTTGAGAGGGGTGGCCAGGCACTTTGAGGTGGCCACACCCTGAGAGGTGGCCAGGCACCCCTTGAGAGGTGGCCAGGCACCCTTGAGAGGTGGCCAGGTGCCCTGAGAGGTGGCCAGGTACCCTGAAGGGTGCCAGGGCCCTGTCAGAGGCACCCTTGAGAGGTGGCCAGGTGCCCTTGAGAGGTGCAGCGGGCACCCTTGAGAGGTGGCCAGGCACCCTGAGAGGTGGCCAGGCACCCTGAGAGGTGGGCCAGGTGCCCTTGAGAGGCCAGGTACCCTTGGAGGTGGCACCCTTGGTCAGATGGCCAGCCCTGAGAGGTGGCCAGGCACCCTTGAGAGGCCAGGTACCCTGAGGTGGCGGGTACCCTGAGAGGGGTCAGGCACCTAGAGGTGCGGCACCTTGTCAGATGCCGGACCCTTGAGAGGGTGGCCAGGTACCCTTGTCAGGTGGCCAGGGTACCCTGAGGTGGCCAGGCACCTGTCAGGTGGCCAGGCACCTTGAGAGGTGGCCAGGCACCCTTGAGAGGTGGCCAGGTAGGCAGGTACCTTGAGAGGTGGCAGGTACCCCTTGAGAGGTGGCCAGGTACCCTTGAGAGGTGGCCAGGTACCTGAGAGGTGGCTGGCACCTTGAGAGGTGGCCGGCACCCTTGAGAGGTGGCCAGGTACCCTGAGGTGGCCAGGTACCCTTGAGAGGTGGCCAGGTACCCTTGAGAGGTGGCCAGGTATCCATGACATTCACCTGTACACGATAACGCCCGAGGTAGTTGACAGGTGGTGGAAGGTGGTGGGTGACAGGTGGTGGACGTAAAGAAGTAATGAACTCCAGACACAACTTGACAGCATCGCTTGACAGTTCTGGACGAGTGCCAACCAACCTGACGAAGGCGGTGAAGGAGGAGGACGAGGAGGAGGAGGAGAAGGAAGAGGAGATGAAGGAAGAGGAGGATAAGGAGAACGAGGGCGAAGAGGAAGAGGAGGACGAGAAGGAGGAGGAGAAGGAAGGAGGAGATGAAGGAGGAGGAGGACGAGAAGGAGAAGGAGAGGGGCGAGGAGGAGAAGGAAGAGGAGATGAAGGAGGAGGAGGATAAGGAGAACGAGGGCGAAGAGGAAGAGGAGGACGAGAAGGAGGAGGAGAGGGGCGGGGAGAAGAAGGAAGAGATGAAAGAGGAGGAGAAGGAAGATGATGAAGGAGGAGGAGAGGGCGAGGAGAAGAAGGAAGAGGAGATGAAAGAGGAGGAGAAGGAAGATGCGATGAAGGAGGAGGAGAGGGCGAGGAGAAGAAGGAAGAGGAGATGAAAGAGGTGGAGAAGGAAGAGGAGATGAAGGAGGAGGAGAGGGCGAGGAAGACTAGGGGTGATATGAACGTCTTGTGCGTCAAAGCGAAAGACAACAAAAACATCAGTAATGGAATATATTTTTGTGGAGTGAGTCTCCCCTCTTCACCCAGCGAGCTAAGAGTGCCCTGAAAACTCTCGCTGAGTCTCAAACAACCTCGTTAAACACTCATCAACGTGTGTTTAACGATAAATGCCTCGTTAAGTCTCTTCCCTCAACTTACACAAACACACATTCACACACAAAACTAATGATTGTGTGTAATGAGTTAAAACACACACACACAGATTCTCTCTCCGTAAGGTGAGGAGAGGCTGTGAGGTGTTTTTAGGGTAAGGTAATGTTGGTGCTGCAGGAGGAAGGTGTGGTGCTGGAGAGAGGTAGTGGTGAAGGAGGGAAGGAGCAAGAGGAATAAGATGAGGAGTAGTGAAGGAAGAAGAAGAAAGAGGAGGAAGAGGGTGCAACTCAACACACGTAGACAGTGACGCTCCCATGTTGAAGAATGTCAGGTCCTACCCATAACTCCACACACATACACACACACACACACACACACACACACACACACACACACACACACACACACACACAGTAAAATAACATCCACTAGTCAGATCAGATTAGGTCAGGTCAGGTCAGGTAAACAACTTGTGGTACCTGTGCCCCAGTCACCCCCCCACATCACCAGCTCTATTAATCGACCAGCCAGAAAATTGTCGGTCGTGTGTACTTGTTGTTAACGTGTGGTCCTTCCTCCTTCCCAAGGACTCCTGACAGGGGAGGTGTAGAGTGGTAGAAGGAAGGTAGAATGATGGTAGATTGGTAGTAGAATAGAAGTAGACTGATAGTTGAATGATCTAGTTGGTCAGGCTGCTCACGTGATCTACAGGTGAAGCTGGGATATACCTGAGGTTCTCTACCTGCCTGGAGATGAGAGAACGCGTTTACCTGAGAGATAGATTGTGAAAAATTCGTCAGTTAATTTTTCTCCATAATTTGTGTACGTGGACAGACAGACAGACAGACATAGAAAGAAACATAGAGAGATAGAGACATAAGGAAAGCCACATAGAAACAAACAGACAGACAGACAGACATAGAAAGAAACATAGAGAGATAGAGACATAAGGAAAGCCACATAGAAACAAACAGACAGAAAGAGAGAGAGAGAGAGAGAGAGAGAGAATAACAGGTCCAGCACCGCCAGAAGACCTTGTTAGGGGCCACCTCCCTGATCATCCCTGACCCTCCCTTAACCTCCCTGACCTCCCTGATCCTCCCTGACTTCTCTGACCTCCCTGATTCTCCCTTACTCTCCCTGACCATCCCTGATCCTCCCTGACCTTCCCTAGTAACACCTACAACAACAGCCGCTACAGCAGGATGTCAGCATCTTCCAGCCCTGTATGTAGATTTTATCCACTAGACATTACGGAGCCTTATTACCAGCACTCACTGATTTTAATTAAGGTAATATGTAAATGAGATGAATACACTCTGGATACATTACTTTCACGCTTGTACACCCACAACCCACCACCCAACCACCCTCACCACCACACCACCCCCACCCACCCACCCACACCCACCCACCCACACCCACCTCACCCACCCACCCCACCCACCCACCCCCACCTCCCCCACCCCTCACCCTGTCATTAATTTTATATATTTTTTAATTGTCTATAATTTATCATTATGTTGAATTTATTCTTGTTTTTATCTTTTATGAAATCGTTTATATTTATTATTTCAAGTGCTGGGGTCAGGGGAGGGGTCAGCTGGGGTCAGAGGAGGGAGTCAGCTGGGGTCAGGAGGAGGGGCCAGCTTGAGTCAGGGGGTGTCAGCGGGGTCAGAGGAGGGGTCAGCTGGAGTCAATGAAGGAGTCAGCTTGTTAGGGGTCAGGAGAGGAGGTCAGCTGGGGTCAGGAGAGGGGCAGAGGAGGAGGTCACGCCTGCTAGTGTCGCCCAAACCTTCTTTACTCAATACACGACCTTGCCTCCTCTGTCTCTCTCTCTCAGACCTTATCCAACTTCCATCAAGTGTACCTCTTAAGTAGGTAGACCATTTCATGTAACTTTACATATATATATTTTTTTAAGTTCAATTACGTAAAACAAATTTCCTTGTTCTCGTCCAACACTTCTCGTAATCATTCTTGTATGAAAGAAGAAAACAAGAAAAATCAATCCAAAGAAATAAATAAAGAAACAAAGAAGAATAAATAAAAGTTAATTGAGAAGCCAAAGTCAACCTGCAGACCAACTTTGGTCCCTGAGACTAAGAATTTAAGGAAACAGATTAAACTTTCTCGGGAGGATCGTGTCCCGGGGTAGTTAAGTCTCCCCCTGTTGTTTACACGCGACATTGACGTTTTCTCTAGATCTTCATGTCACTCTCCTCAGCCTTTTGATTTCCTCTACACAAGTAAAGACTGTCTGCTCATCATCTCTGAGCGTGTTGTTGTGTAGAGATGATCTGAGTTAATGACAGGACTGTGATTGTCTCTCATTTCTTGTATAAATTAATGTACTTGATAGCACTCCTATGTGACCTAACCTGAGTCTGCCAGCCTTATGTACATGACCTTTGACCTATGTTGTGTCTTCTCCGGCAGATATTGACCTTAACGACCCTGAGGTTCAGAAGGCAGCGACCAAGATCCAGGCGGGGTTCCGTGGCATGAAGTCCCGCAAAGAGGTGAAGGACCAGCAACACCCGGGCGCTGATGACCAGGATGATGAGATCGCTGCTATTGACCTTACCGACCCTGGTAAGTGACCTGACCTGACCTCATCTGGTTTTTATATTGAAATTAATACATGTAGAGGTATTTGTTATTCATTAATGAGGTTCCTTATCATAATGTAAGCTAAAATTGTACCGGAAATGAGGGTTATGTGTGAGAGACTTTTAAACACAATGTAAATGGAGGTTGTAGTTAGTGAACCAAACGTAGAAAGAAGTATTAAGTGGCCGCCAGACTATTGTGTTATTGGTGTAGGAAGTGACCAATCGAGAAGTAAGTGTTGATGGAGTCATGGAAGGTCAAGAGGGAAGGTCTTTAAGATGATCAAGACTTTTAACATAGCCATACTGTTAAGATGATGTCACCAGTCCTAATAGGTCTAGGCCTCTCAGGATTAGGCCTAATTCTAATAACTTCCAATCTTAATGGATATAAATCTGATTGAGTAAAATATAAGGTCTTAAATCTTAGTGGATCCAAGTTGTAAAGGACCCCAATCGTGATGGTATGGTTGGGGTCTGTTAGGGAGTGAGGGCCCATTTGGCTGGTACGGTTGGGCCCTCCATTATGTTGATGGGGTCACCTCGCTCCCTCACCTCACTTTACCGTCAAGAAAGTCTCCAGCACTGAGATTTACACCACACTTTACCACCACACACTTTACACCTTATCACCACACACTCTGCTCCATCACCACCACACACTCTACACCACACACTTTACACCACCACACTCTACACCACCACACTCTTCACCCACCACACATCTTGAGTGCTCTAAGACGATGAATGAAGCTGTTGGCTGATAGAACACGTAGTAATGACCTGACGTTTATAGAAGGAACAAAATATAAGTCATATTTTTTCTTGATTTTCTTAATTTTCTTCACACTTTAAGCAGTACGAGAGGGAGGGAGGGAGGGGGGGAACTAGTGGCGCTGTGGTTGATGCTAGGGAGAGCGGTAATGGTGTAGCAGGTCGCTCCACTAAGCCTTTAACTGCTCCTTACTGTCCCTTTAACCTCTTAGTGGAGTGTAATGTTGCTTTTATTTCCCTACACTGATTTACCACCAGGGGAAATATATATTTTTTTCCCCTGGTGCATAAGTGGAGAGGGAAAAAGAGAGAAAGGGTGAGGAAAAAAAGAGGGAGGGAAAATAGAGAGGAAAATTAGAAGGAAAAATGAAAGACGGAAAAAGAGGAAAAAAAAAGAGTGAAGGCAAAAGGAGAGGAAAAATGCGAGTGGGAAAAAAGAGGTAGAAAAGAGAGGGAAAAAAGAAACACATATTTAAAATAATTATAAAATGTTCCTTTCTCACATCTATCGCGTACCATCAATTTCCTCATCTTCACTGAGGAAAACTGAGGAAAATATGACCAGAATTTTGTGGTTTGTGGGAGCTGTTAAGAGCAGACCTGTTGAACGGTGATTAATAACCCTGGCACCTGAAGTAACAAACTCCACAACAACAACTACAACAACAACAACAACAACTACAACAACAACAACAATAAAAACAACAACAACTACAACAACAACAATAAAAACAACAATAAATATACCAAAATTTTTTTTAGCGGGTTTCAGTGGAGTCAAGAGCCTCTGTACACACACACACACACACAAACACACACACACACACACACACACACACACACACGCACACACACACTTTTTTATTTACTTAATCATTTATTATTCCTCTGTGTGACCATCCGTTTGAACCTTACCTGAACCCTTTGGTGACGATGGTTTAAGCTGTGATATATATTCCTTCAGTCAGCTAGCAAAATCGTCGACTCTTCCCCTCCTGTTCACCAACCACACACAGGTAGCAACATGGCGTCACCACCAACCACACAAAGGTAGCAACATGGCGTCACCACCAACCACACACAGGTAGCAACATGGCGTCACCACCAACCACACAAAGGTAGCAACATGGCGTCACCACCAACCACACACAGGTAGCAACATGGCGTCACCACAACACACAGGTAGCAACATGGCGTCACCACAACACACAGGTAGCAACATGGCGTCACCAACACACACAGGTAGCAACATAGCGTCATTATTCAGCTCGGGTAATGTTATGTAGGTCAGGTTTGCGTCACAACACCCACAACAAAGTCAAAATTGGTCCCAAATTCGCCGCAGAAGACCACTGTGCCCAGTTGTCGGTAGTTGGGGGGAAAATTGGGATAATCTCGCCTAATTACACTCTGGTTTTACCCCGTAATCCGGACAACTTCTGAGAAAACTGTGTAGGTCTGTCTGGCCGGATCCTTTGATTACAGGGGACGACACTGTCTCTTGGGGGGTCACTGTACCATGCTGAGAGGTCACTGTACCATGCTGAGAGGTCACTGTACCATGCTGAGAGGTCACTGTACCCTGCTGAGAGGTCACTGTACCATGCTGAGAGGTCACTGTACCATGCTGAGAGGTCACTGTACCATGCTGAGAGGTCACTGTACCATGCTGAGAGGTCACTGTACCATGCTGAGAGGTCACTGTACCATGCTGAGAGGTCACTGTACCATGCTGAGAGGTCACTGTACCCTGCTGAGAGGTCACTGTACCCTGCTGAGAGGTCACTGTACCCTGCTGAGAGGTCACTGTACCCAGCTGAGAGGTCACTGTACCCTGCTGAGAGGTCACTGTACCATGCTGAGAGGTCACTGTACCATGCTGAGAGGTCACTGTACCCTGTTGAGAGGTCACTGTACCATGCTGAGAGGTCACTGTACCATGCTGAGAGGTCACTGTACCATGCTGAGAGGTCACTGTACCATGCTGAGAGGTCACTGTACCCAGCTGAGAGGTCACTGTACCCTGTTGAGAGGTCACTGTTGCGTTTTATCAATTAAATATTATGTTGCCAAAGAGATTAAAAGGTTAGGTTAGGTTAGGTTAGGTTAGGTTAGGTTGCATTACTCCCTAACAACCAGTGTGTTTGTCTGAAGTGACCTGGTTACTAGGAGCACAGGTACTAGCAACACTGACAGTAGTAACTAATAACAATATTTATTTTAGGATTCATCTGAAGTACATCACCCGATCTTGTTGTCTGTTATAGTACACAGGTATATAACATATGTATCCCTCACGCTGTATATTACTGTACACTAACGTCATTGGTGTTTCATGTGTTCGTTATAACTGTTACAGGTAACCAAGAACAATGTTGTTCGTTATAAGTTTTACAGGTAACTTATTACTGTTTTTGCTCGTTATGATGTTCACAGACAACCAGTGATAATAATATTAGGTGTCTGATGTGTTCGTTCCAATGTTTACAGATAACCAGTAATGATGTTAGGAGACACTCAGAGGTACGTGTGTGTGTGTTGCGAGTGTTGTGTGGCGTGTGTTGTGTTGTGCTGTTGACTGCTACACGTCTGACTCTGCCACCACACTGACCACCACCACCCAGACTTACCTGACTGTGGTGGTCAGGTCACTGCACTAGGGGACAAAACATTATTAACACGCCCAATACCACGAGTCCAGACCCAGCATGTCAGCACCGGCGTGTTGTGGAGGAGACCCTTACCTGTGTGTGTGTGTGTGTGTCTGTAAGAGGCTTTGCACCCTCCTACCTACACACGCACACACTCGTTCCTGTTACTTCACTTTTGTGTATATATGTGTGTGTCTGTGTGTGTGTGTGTGTACGTTTGCTTGTACGTGTGAGTGTGTGTGTGTGTGTGCTTGTTTACGTGTGTACACTAACTACCACACTGCATGCAAATATTATACTTTGTTCAAAGGTAAAAACATTTTTAAACTTTGAACAAAACAAATCTGCCGGAAAATCACCAGTTTTTGTGAATGTAAAATATGCAGATATGTTCACTTTGATCTGTAATGACACTCAGTTGCACAGTTTGTGTTGTTTGACTCTTGCAGTGTGTTGCACATTTTGCACCTCAATCTCTCTTGTTGATACAGGGAGACCGTCTCGATGATCTTGTTCTATTCTTGTACTGATCTAGTTTTGGTACTGCATCAAGCTTGATATAGTCCAGTACGGTACTTGTCTTATACCAGAACTTAATCTACTCTTATATTTACTTTATTTTGATCTTGTCTTGATCTTGTTCCGGTCCGATAATAATCTTGTTCTGTTCTCGTACTTGTTCTACTCCTGTACTGACGTTGTTCAGATCTCCTTTAATAATGTATAATCCACCGCCACACTTGACCCCAACACAGTGCCTGGCCTGGCGGGGAGCACAATGACTCGGTACTCTGTTAGTGTACCGAGACTTGCCGCTACCTGAGATGCTTGTTGAGTGGTGGTCCTCAGTGAAGGTGAATATATTATGTTTAAGATTGGTCAATGTCACCAATCAGAAACTTCTAAATGACACACTAGACATAATGATAAGAGCACTATGGAGTATGTTATGATAAAGGTTCACTAACAAGACCACATAAGTCACACGAACACATACGTATCTCCTAAGTAGCACATATCAAAGTAGCACACAAGGCTCAAAAAGTCACTCAGACGATAGAGGAAAAATACACAAAGATCAGTCAGTCGTAAAGTAGTAGAGACGGACACAGAGAGGAGGAGAGCACAGGGTAACACTGAGGTGAAGAAGGTTGAGTGGAAGGGTAAAGGGTGGATGGAAGGGTAAAGGGTGGATGGAAGGGTAAAGGGTGAATGGAAGGGAGTTGTAGGGGTAAAAAAGGCTACCGTGGCTTAACACAGCTTGTCTGATGGTGAGAGGATTGTTCTAGAGTCGTCAGCAGCAGCAGTAGCACCCCGCCCGGCAGCTGCAGCACAGGAGGAGGCGGCGAAGGTTTGGGTTTCCTTTGTAAGACCGACACTGCCACGAAAGCAGCCCACAGCCCACTACCCGAGAAGCAGGTGGACAGGGCTTGGGACGTCACATTTCAAGTACTTAATTGACTGATAGTGAAGTCTTCTGCCTTGAGAGCACAGTGATATAGAGGGGGGGGGGGGCGCCACGGATGACTGGCGCCCGTGTGTCGGTAATGTTTTTCCT